CCATTTTCTTTCTCTTGCTTTCTAGAGATGATAAATTTCTTAGTTTCTGCTTGATGTATAAAATTTTAACATGAGAGATTCCACTTTGGTTTTTCTTCCTGGCCAAGCACAGGAGCTTTCTTCAAACCAATGGCCTTCTGCAAATACGATAAGCATAGTGTTAGAAGAAATGTTGATGTTGGGTGAGACGTGGGTTGGCAGTGATACCTCCACACAGAAGAGGCAGCTTTCTACTCCTCACACTGGGATTTCTAAACCTACTTCCCTGTTACTGTTTATGTTGAACTAACAACTGTTGATGAACTATTGGTTAATAACTATATTCTTGTTTAAGTCCACACCTGTCCTGATTGTCTTCCTTTCCACAGAGATATTGGGAAGGATGAGAGGAGAGGTGCAGGGGAGGAAAGGAGCTAAGGGGATCGAAGGACAAATTAAGGTGGGGCAATATGTAAGTGAAATGGGGACGTGGAGGAGGCAGTGGCAGTGAAGCTACAGATGGGGTTAGTGTTCTCCAGATTCCAGGCTGAATGGGAAAATATTTTTTGAGAGAATCCACATCAAACCTGTTTCTATTCCTCTTCTAGGAACTTATTTGTCTTATTGTGTGAATTGAAAGGTGAAAATATGGGGCTATGAATGACTAGACCATCTGTCACAAAGATATCCAGGTATATGCCAGAATCTTCCAAGACACTGGCATTAAATGGAGGCTTAAAATTTCTCCACTTCTCCCTCACAGGTCCATTTGCTAAGCCATGACATTTCCTAGGTACCCCTTAAGGTTTGTCCTGGTTCTACTGAGTCTCACATACAGGGCTGGGCAGGAAGGAAGGAAGCCAAGAGGTCTGGGGCTCTGCCTTCGAGGAGAGCCCACACGCCAGGGCTCGGTTCTGGTGAACTGAATGTGACACTTCCCAGTCAGGGAGGCAATGAGCAAGGTTCCTTATCTATGAAACAGGAATAGGAATCTGGGCTTCCTAGTGACCTGGTAAGGGTGAAATGAGATAGTCTATGTCAGTCATCTATATTCGTCTGTGCCCCAAACCTATGTGGTTGAAGTCAATCTCAGACCCCTTTCCAGATACTGCTTCCTCTCAGTAAACCTCCATTCTATGTTGAATTTCTGATCTGGATGCAGACATGCATTTCCACAGAAGGGAAATCATAAAAAATGTGTAGGAATAGAAAGATACTATCCTCACATTAGGCATTGAAATGTTTATTGTTGCTTTCTTCAAGCTTCATAAAGCATAGGGAGTTTTCCAAAGACAGGACATACTGTAGTATTTGATAGGGGAAAGAAAACCATAGACAAAGCTCTAAGTTACAAGATACTGGAACTGCTCAAGTACAGCAGCATGCTTATCCTTGGACAGCTGCTGAGGGCAGAAAGCTTGTGGCTGGGCCTGTGACTAGAAAGGCCTCTGGCAACCTGAGGAAGACAGTACATGTCCACCGTGTCACAAGAAGGCAGTAGGACATGTGGTTTAGCCTCTGTCCCTTTCTGGGGGACCTGACAATCATCTCCTGACAACATCCAGGGTCATGTCTCTGCCATCTTCCCATCACTGAGTCTTTGTGTTGAGCTTCCCCTTGTGCTGTTTCACTAGTGACCCGATCCACCTTGCAGTCTCCCGCTTGGCTTCCTCCCAGCTGAAGCGGGGCTCATAGCCCAGATCTTGCTGAGCTTTCTTGTAGGAGAAAGTGAACACGCTATTTGCCAGTGTGATTGAATGGCGGTTAAAGGGAGGCTTATAGTTGTAAACTGGACGAAGCAAGAAACTCACTGTTTCCAGCAGGAAGGCCAGCCAGTACAGTAGGGGCAGAGGAAGGCTCAGCCTGGAATCAAGGCAGAGGCCCCATTCCCTGCCCATGGTGTAATTTAATTCATCATAGCTTTGGTGAGGTGTGACATCTGAGATGTAGTAGAACTTTCCTTGGATGCTTGGTGCCTTTTGGGGGTCCCGAAGGCCCCTGGAGGCCAGAATGTGTGCCCAGGCCACATTGCCCACATACACTGGGTTGACTACAGAGAATTTACCAGTAACAGGCAGGATATCCTTATTCTTAAGGGCTCTAATCACCACATCAGACATGAATGGGTTTCTCTCCCCATAGATGTACATGGGTCTTAAGGCACATGTATGCAAAGTGCCACCATTATTAAGGATGTCCCCATTGGCTGCCAGCACCGCCTTCTCAGCCAGCTTTTTGCTGTATGGGTATGGATCAGACCATGTGCTTTCATGATGCTCTCCTTCATGGCCATTTTGAACGATCTCCTTGTATGAGTTGGGCCCTGCAACATCAATTGAGCTGGTATAGATGAAGATTGGGATGCTAGCTTGGACACAGGCCTCCAACAAGTTCTGGGTACCTGCAGGTGAGTAGCACACTATCAGTGTCAGGAAATAAGCCCAAGGGTCTACACAGTTCCTGTTCATTTCCATCCCAATCACAGCCAACTGGTTATTACAGACTCACATGCATCCTTCTCGGTTCCTCACTCAGAACTACTATGCCATAGTCACATCAATAATACAAAAACAAAGGGAATGACACTTTCTATCTGGTAATAAGGTTTCTAGATTTTCAGGCTTCAGAGGCCTCTCTCTGTGTCTCTCTCTGTGATTGCGCCAATGTACTTTGATTTTGGAATAGAAGGTAGGGTTTCTACCATATACAGCCTTAAAAATCAATTCAGCCTGAAAAATCACTATTTGTCATTCATATCATTTAGTAATTGTTAGCAATATAGGCAGGTGATTTTTATTTATTTTGTTTTAATTAATTAATTAATTAATTATTGATGCGATGCAAGGGTATCTTTGTAGCCCCAGGTGGCCTGGATGTCACTATGTAGACCAGATTTCCCCCAATCTCACAGAGATCTGCCTGCTTCTACCTCCCTAGGTCTGTGACTAAAAGCATGTACCATCAGGCCTGGCTCTGGGCAAGTAATTTTTAAAATTACTCATTTATTTTTATTTTATGTCTAAAAATATTTTTGCTTGCATTATGTAAGTGAAAATGTGTTGTACAATGCCCTTGAGGTCAGGAGAGGGCATCAGATCCCCTGGAACTGGAGTTACAGATGGCTGTTAGCTGCTATGTGGATGCTGGGAACCAAACCCAAGTCCTCAGCAAGAGCAGTGCTCTTAACCCCTGAGCCATCTCTCCAGTCCCTTGGCAGGTGATTTTTAAATCCCAAACCATCATGCAGTCATACTCAAGGACAATAAAGTCCATATAACACAATATTATCCATAATCGTGTACAAGGAATACACACTGACATGGACATTAGAATGCTGGTATTTTGGTCATTTGGTGAGGCTCAGTAAGATCTCTGTCATGAGGACCATCCTTGGAGTCACAGAACAAATGGTTGTTGAGCTGTGGGGAAAGGCTGGAGATGCGGCCTCTGTTCCTGACCGTGTGTTCTCTGTGAAGTCACTCCTAGTTCCATCTATGATTACATTTGCTCAGTTACACCCAGTAAAGCTGACAGACATTCCTTCTAGTTTACATCTGGAGTCCTCCACTGGCCTTTTCTAGCCTGATGAGCTTAAAGAGAACTGGAACAGAATGTGCATCCCCATCTGGTCATTCAAGGAAGGGAGCAATGTCCTGGACAAAAGACCATTAATTAATTAACCAACTAATTAACTGCTAATTAATTATTAGTAAAAAGCTTGATAAATTAATAAATGAACTTAAATTAATTCATTTGTGAGCATTAAAATTGCTCTGTAACTTAATTTTCTATAGAAAAACTTCATAAAAAAATCAACCATATTCGCCAATTATATTTGGACTTTGCTTAGTAATGGAGGGAAATTACCATTATCGTGAAGTGTTTTCTTACTCTGTAACAACGTTTTAGTGAAACACTGCCATGAATGCCACCCCTGTCAGTTCACAGCTTGTGTTGCTGGAAAATACAGCAGGTGAGTCTTTTCAGTGGGGAGGACAGGCAACAAACACCAGATTCTTTCGGCACCTTCCTGCCATATCGGCAGGTGTGTGTGTGGTGGGGGGTACGTTAGGGGAATAGAAACCAGAGAGGGACGTTTTTCAGATGCTCCTGGAAACTCTAAGACAACTGACTGCTTTGGAAAAGAAGCCTTAGAGTCATTAAGTTGAAAGTCAACATGTGGAACACACATGGGAAAAGGGCAGAGGGTGCAGTGGTGATGGAGTGATTGACTCTTGGAGATGAGAGTGATGATATTACATGGAAATATCCTTTGAGATCATGTGTCTCATCTTAATGTATATTAGAAAGTCAGAATGCAGAAAGGCTCACCAAGGAAAGGGAGTTACATTCAGCAGTTGTCTAGAATCTGCCCCCTCAGGAGTAGACCCACAGTGGCTATAAGGATAGTATTAAGGATATGTAAAATAATCACTACTAAGAAAATATAGTGGGGTGCCAAGTGCTGGCCCATTTTTCCTGGCAAACAGCTGTGAAACACCTTTGCTAGCTGTCTGCCAAGAAATTCTTCGTTGAGGTGGGCAGGGTGGTCCTTTCAGAACTAAAATGCATGATGAGCAAGTGCCTGCAAGATTGGGGTCTGGCCAGAGAGGGGAACTGTTGAGGGGTGTAAATTAGGGCTTTGGGTTGGAGTCCAGTCACTGTGACTTGGAGGAGCAGGGGAGCTTTCCTGGCAGCTGGGGAAACACTGGTGTGACTGGTGTTTCCCCAACTGCCTTCTCTACAATCTGTGAGGCCTTGGCCACCTTCCTTCTCCTCTCAGCCTGTTATCCTCACATAAAACACTGAGACTAAAAGCCTTGGGTTCTGCCTTCTGGGAGTGGTGAGAAAACATGGCCCGTGTTCCAAAGCAGGGGCTTCCCTGCTCAGCCTGCTTTGCTGTTTTCATTTTTCCACTTGCTCTATCTCTTCTGCGGGCACTGTACCTTTCAGATTGATATCTATAATGGTCTGTCTTGGAATGACACCTGAGATATCAATGATGGCGGCAGCATGGATGACAACAGACACACCCCGGCAGGCTATCTTCAGACACTGAGTATCCAGAATGTCTCCTTCCAGCATTGTCATCTTGGTCTTTGTCTGCAGCTCTGTGGAACACAGGGAGGTCATGGGAAGCTTTCTACATGGGATGGGAAGTTTCTTGACACATGTCAGCTACCCAGGAGATACCAGGGAGGCAGCCTTTTTGTCGCAGGAACAATAAATGCATCAAGCCCAGAAGGTAGCATTTACAGGGAATCAGAACCTATGTCTACCCCCATCCTGTTGTAGAAGATGAATTTGAGTAGTAAGATCCCATCTGTACTTTGCACAAACTTACGTGATTTTCATCAGTTCTTTAAAGTGACTGAAGAGGTGGTAGGAGTCGAGTATAAGAGGGAAGAATTATAAAAATAGTAAACAAATTTTTTTTTGTTTAAAAAAAGGGGCTGGAGAGATGGCTCAGTGGTTAAGAGCACTGACTGCTCCTTCAGAGGACCCAGGTTCAATTCCCAGCACCCACATGGTGGCTATCATGCGTCCTTAACTTCAGTTCCAGGGGAATCCGAAGCCCTCTTCTGACCTCTGTGAAAGAAAAGTTCCCCAAAAGAACTCCTACACTTAGGACCAAACTTCCTGCAAAGCTGACCAGCTGATTATCACTCCCGAGACTGTGGAGAGTTTGGAATGTTGCAGGTCCAGAGTCTAATCACCATTTATCTTGGGTCATCTTTAGCCCCCTAAACAGCCACTCCTTACTCACCTCTGTTTCTGATCTAACATCCTGTGACTAACAGATAAAAACCTTTTAGAAGGTATTAACTTAGGAGACCACCAGGTCTCACCAATCCAAAAACTAAGAATGTCAGCAGATAACAACTGAGATCTATAGTAAGAACCCTCCTGCTTTGCTGCAACCCACCTACTGAATGTATCCTCCAATGTATTTGAAAAGTGTCTAGATTTATGACTTTTCTTTGTTCTGTTACTATAAAAATGTAAGGCAACTGTTACCACATTGGAACATGGAATTTGGGGTAACCTGAATCTGTGTTCCCAAGCCATGGTCACTCATATTTGGCTCCAGAATAAACTATCTCTTATCCCCTTTGAGGTGAGAGTTAAGCTACACCTCCACAGCACTGCATGACACGGGTGCACTCACATACATGAAGGCAATACACTCATACACATACAAATAGTAAATACTTTTTTTTAAAGGGAAGAATTATAATTTAATTGTAGAGAATGAGGAATCATGTATGCATTTGGACTGAAGGAGGAACAGAGACAGAGCAGGATGCTGTAACAGTGCTCTTGAGCTGTGAAATGCACGGGTGTCAGAGTGTAAGAGACAGGTGGGTGAGCAACCGATCAATCAGAATGTGTGCTCCAGAGTTCCATGAGAGGGAGCCAGGTGCTGGTACCAGGAGAGGGAGACATACAGATAGAAACTTCAGCCCTTGCCCTGATAGGTCCTGGCACTTACTAGGTCTGGGCTGAGTAGAAAGGAAGAGTTACGTGACTTACTATGTGGAAAGAGGAGCCACTTCTCTCTGAGAGAATTGAGGATGGGCTCTGATGATGAATTTGATTAAACTTCTCTTAGCAGATCTCCGATATTATGAAATGCAGACATCAATACTGTAAATGCGTCAGCTTCCATGGACCTAGACTGCAGCCATGTGGCCTGGAGCAGTGGAAACATCAGTGTCTTCAGACTTCTCTGGAATCCCCAGGATGACACTGGCAGTGATGTTGTCAGCTAAATTACCTCACAGAATTACCAGTGCGCTACAGGAAGTCTGCATCAACACCCCAGACTCACATGTAGTTCATAATTCGCACATGACTTTCATGCTTTGCTATTCCCTTTCCCAGCTATGTCATGAGGCAGGGCTTCTGGTATCCCCGTAAAAGACAGGGAAGTGAGGTTGGGGACAGAACTAAGAACACACATCTAGTTGGAAGCTGCACCCCTGCCTCTAAGCCTTGCTCGCTTGTTTCTGTACCACCAAAGACAAGGCTGATTGTTTGAAATCAACTTGCCTGAAACAGAGTAAGAAACAGTTGACCTGAATTTGGGAGCAAAATCTAAAGAATAGGAAGAAAAACAATCAGAGGAAGAAATCCAAGGCTTGAGAAACCGCTACCGGGCACAATTTGAACCTCATGACCTCAACATCCTCTGTGGAGGGGAATCTTCTCTAGGGAGCTTCCCCTCATTAGGTGACTCCAGGGAGGCCCTTCAGTAAAAGAAGGCAGGGAAGAGGCTAGTGGGAAGGGCGTGGGTACTGGCCTGAGAGAGAAATTCTGGTTGTGTCTCCTCTGCCCCCTCTCTTCTCTGCTTCTCTGGTACTCCTGACTTCTGGAATACTGGTTCAGAAAAGTTGTTATGCCAAGACAGCAGGGGCTCAAATCCTTAGAAACTGGCTCCTATGTGTCAGCCCTCAAGAATCCTGAGAACTCCTGACAGGACACCTTGGATACTTTACGGTGGAGTCAGAGTTCTCAACCTGTCCAAGGCACTGGGTTTGGCAACTGTTTTTGCAAAGAGATTATGTCATTTTCATTAGGAAATAAGTTGCATTGGAGGGAGGACCTGAAAGAAACCAACCACATGCACTATTCATTGCGAATGTGGAGGCTGTGGCTAGCCCTCCTGAGCTGTGCCCCATTTTTCTTTATTCTATCTGTGGGATCTTAGACACATTAATTAACCTCTCGATGACTTCCCCCCATCTGTAGAAAAGAAAAATATTGTGTATCTCCTTAGGGTGTCAGGGCCAGATAAGGAATTGACACTGCAATCGTGTCCCGCAGTGCTGGAACTGTAAAAAAACATTGCAAGGGTCCTCACCTTTCATCTCTCTTCAGGCCCTTGTCTATCACAATTGGAGCATACTCCTCTAGGCTGAGCATTGCCCTCTTCCAACATCAGGCAAATGTTGCATACATTAATGAAATATTATAAGTACAATTATATTGACTGTGGGCTAATATTTGGTTAGCAGAGATATCACTGAAATAAAGAAAGAAATTAGATGTTGGAAGAAGTCGGAGATAAGTAGAAAAGCGGAGGGGGATGGTATTTGTCCTAGAGTGCTAAGGAGTAGCCCTGTGTGCCAGGTCAGGTCTTGGGGCATCCAAAGCTCACAGATAGACATCTAGTACTTCTAGGCCACAGACAGGTACATACCACTGGTTTGGGGCACACAGGAGAATGATGAAAGAGAATGATGAATTTCTGGGTCCAGAGTCAACCCTAGACTAAGTGATAGGCTCTCAGAGATGGGGCTCTGGCCTGAGCTCCACTACGCATTAATCAGAAGACTGCACACTCAGTGCTTTTCCTTTCTGAGCCTAGAGGTCCTGCAGTCCACGTGGGTGAGCCTCCTTTTTCACCTGCCACACAGGGCTTTTGTGAGGATCTGAGGATGCAGCAGCTGGGGACATTGCACTGTCAGTTCAGCTCTTGTATTTGCACTGGTGGGGGGTACACTGTCAGAAAAGAATAATGCTCTGGTCTGTGTTCACTTTCTCTGTGAGCTGAAGAATAGAAAGGAATGCTAGGGAAAATGTTGGAGGAATCCAGGTGAGGCGCTGTAGCCCTGCTGGTCCTCACCTGATTCTGTTATTCATTCTGTCCTGTGCGTGTGCTATCTACTCCAGTCTCTCATTCTCTGCCTCCCTCTGTCTCCCTCACACACACAAATTCAACTTTTTAATTTCACTTCCACTGAAGATGCTAAACAGTTACCCTCTGCAAAACAAAATACAACACTGGACAAGCAGGAGAGGTAGAGACCCACTGCAGCGGTCTGCAACTTAATTATCTTTGGCAGATATTACACAGCAATGGAAAAATCCACAACCTTAGCGGATTAAAAATCTGTAGGTAAGGGAGAGTACAGATGTGTGATTTCTAGATGGGGGCTTGAAGACCCAGTGGCTGCCCCACGGTCACCCTCTCTGGTTTGGAGTCAAGCTAAACTCAATTCAAGCCTTGCAACAGCTGTGCTATGTATTTTATGCTGTGTATCCTGAACCTTCCTGATAAGCCTGGACAGGGAGAAGCCTTATACTCCAAGCAGCCTTTCTTTACTAGACAGGAACTCCTCCCCTTACACAGTCAGCATTCATAACACAATCACACAAAGCCACTAGCTTACTTACTGGAGAATTCCTCCCTGGTTTCTGGTCTGAAGACTCTGTCCAGGGCTCTGACCTCCTGCAGGTCCTTCTCCTGCACCAACAAGCTGACGATCCTCTGTCCCAGAAACCCTCCTGCTCCTGTCACCAGGCAACTCCACCCAGGCATGGCCAGTGCAGGAAGATCACAGTGGGGAGCAAGTGTGATGTAGGGTGACCCTGGAAAGGGCTAGAAAGAGAGGCCTAATGAGTTCAGTTTCCCAGCGACCCGTTAGATTCACTTCATCTGATTAAAGAAGAAGAAGAAGAAAAAAAAAAGAAAAAACATGTCCCCACCAGTACCAAGAATAGTAAAGATAAAATGTAAAGTTCTAACCTGCTAGGTAATTAAGAGGCAGTTGAAAGAGCCTGGATACTGGCCTCCTCATCTTCCAAATCAGGACCTGAGTTTTATGCATCGTGGTGTGTGACTCACCTTATCATTTTTATCTCTTGCGACATGCTCATTGCTTACTCTTTTTCCATAATCCCTCCTCCTCGGTGATTGATAACTGTTATATCTTTAATTCCTGAAGCAGGAAGGAAAGCCAGTTCCAAGGTTGTATTGTGATAAGACTTTTGGTTTCTGCGTCAACAGGACAGCCAATAGTTTATACAAACTGCCAGGGCTCAGTGCGTGAGCTTAATTGAAAGGAGGTAAATCTCCAGGCATGATGTGAGACTTCCTCTTGTGCAGTAAATATATCTGGAAGAAATGTCCACCTTAGCAGATTTTATCTCTTATCTATGCATGTCACTGAGATGTTGGTTGTATATTACAAACTTTAGAAATTTCTTGCCCCTCCAGGATATGTATATATGCATAATTTTTCCCAAAATCTCAATTTTTATTTCTCACAAAGACCAGTGGGCTCCTGGTAGTTAGAAGTAGCTACATTTTTCTGTGGTATATTAGTTATATTTTTCTGTTGCTGTGATAAAACACCATGACCACAGCAACTTATAGAAGGAAGAGTTTGTTGACCTTACAATTCCAGAGTGATAAGAATCCATCATGTACAGGCAGGAGTGAGCTGGAGGGAGCCAGAGCAGAAAATTGAGGGCTCACATCTTCAAGCAGATACAGGAAGCCTACAGACAGAAACAGGAAAGGGAACAAGGCTAAAAACCTCAAAGTCCACCTCCAATGATGAGCTTCCTCTAGCAGGACTGGCTGCACCTCCTAAACGTCCACACATAGCACCACCAACTGAGGCCAAGCATTTAAATACTTGGAGCCCCTGGGGGACATTCTCACTCAAACCACCACATTCCACTTCCACTCCCTGACCCCCATCGATTCCTGACCTTATCATAAATTGTATTTAGTATAACTTCAGAAGTTCCCAAGGTCTTTAACAGTCTCAACACTATTCAAATTAAGTCCAAAGTCTCTTCTGAGACTCAAGGCAATCTCTTAACTTTACAAGCCAAAGTACATAGTCTAACAAATAGTAGAATGGAATATACATTCCCATTCCACAAGGGAGAAATGGAGGCATAATGAGGAAATACTGGACCAAAGCAAGATATAAAAATCAGCAGGGCAAACACCAAATCCTATAGCTCTGTGTCTGATGTCTGGGACTTGACTTTGTTGCAGAAACTTTCAGTAGTCAAGAGACCAATAGACATGCCAGATGAAGGAAAGGGAGTTTTTTTTATGCCAGAGGGCTGATGCCTGTATTATTTCATAATGGTGCCAGCCCTGAGCTCAAGTTTGTAAGGAAATTTATAGTAAACAAGTGTGTAGGGCATACTGGTAGTTAAACAAGATGTTACACACAAGCACATGGTGATGAAAGATCACAAGAATGTAGCAGTTTGGCAAACTGATTTCAGTGATGGGTAGACTGGTAATAAATCACAAGGGATGAGGGCAGATTCCTGTTTACTTTCCTCAGTCTTTTCTTTTTTTTTTAATTTTTAAAAATGATTTATTGAGAATTTCATACATGTAATTAAGGTGTTTTGATTAAATCCATGCCCACTCCCTTCTTATTTCTTTCTATCTCATTTTGGGGACTTTCCACAGTTCAAGATTCTTAGCAACCACCTCATTGTAAGAAAATTTCCATTGGCACCAAACTTCCAAAGGGCTTAGATGGCTCAACCCATCTAGCTTTACTGCCTGCAACATACATTTCTCTCTTGGGTTAGTACCACCTCCTGTATACAGCTATTCTTGGCAGATGTCTCATGAATCTGGCATCTCCAAAATCTTGGCATCTATATTACCAACCAGGCTTCACATTTACATCCTCACACAATGGCGTCTTTACACAGGGTCTCCCCTGCTACATACTGCTTGACCTTGGGAGGCACTCTGAAACTACAGAGGAAGAACCAATGACACCTTCACCCGTGCACCTTTTCTGCCTCAAAAGCCAGCCCCACCTGAACAACATTGCTGTGTTCTGCTACCAGTTTGGGATGGACCTTGACTTTTTCACCCACATTATCAGGAGGTGCATTTGTATGTTGTGGTTTTCCAGGAGCAGGAAACTCCTTTAGCCTTTTCACAATTTGAGGCTTAGTTGGGTGGGGGTCTTTTCCTGGGGGGGAGATTTTCCATTGCTCAAGTGAGAATCTGGAAGCCTCTCCTTAATGACTCTAATCTCCTTATCAAACAGAGAGCCTCTCTTCCAGCACATGCCTTGGCTGCCACATTATTAAGCTTCCTAGTGTTCATTTTTGCTCTAAACTGTACATTTTGTATTTATTTCTGCCATACTTGCTAATTTTCCATTATGCATAATGTTCACCATCTATAACTACACCAATTCAACATTGGACTATGGTGAAATTTTCTTTGGTAAAGAAATTAGTCCATTAATTTTAAATTTAGCCTCAGGCAACTTCTTAGGCTTCAGGGAAATGGTAGCCAAACTCCTTGCCAAAAATCCCTATTGTCGTTTAAGTCCTTATTTCCCTCTCTGGAACATCTTGAGCTCGGCCTCTATCAGAACAGCCCATTAAGCTCTGCTTGCACCATTTAACCACTTTTGTAGCCCAAACTTCCCAAATCACCCACATTCCTCAAAAAACCATAGTCAAGTTATTCACAGAAACAGCTCACTCTCTGGCATCAACTTTTGTATTGGTTACGTTTTCTGTTACAGGCTGGATTCCGAATAAAAATTACCAACACCACTTAATTGAAAGCAGCAAGGGAAAATTTTTATTTATGGCCAACCGGGCTGTCTATGCAGGGAATAGAAGCAGCCTTAAACACCAGTCGGCCAGAATATTTATAGGCATATAGAAAGCAAAACAAGTGGGCCAACCAAGTTTATGCAACACAGCAAAATTTGAACATAGCAAACTTCAAATTTACCAATCAACTATTGGTCATTGTATGGACATGGGCTTGGGTAAGCCAAGAAGGTTTATAGAAGTGAGATAAACAGTTAGTCAACTGCTGGCCTAGATTATAATACCCTGTGACATGTGGTTAGGCCCTTTCTCAGAATTCAAAGTTTCTTCTACCTTCTAGGTATCTTTCATAAGTAAGGTAAAGGGCACATCTTCTGAAATGGCTGCTTTGGGCAAAATGGAATAACTTAGGCTAGGTTAGTTTAGTTGAGATAGTTCATTCCCCACTCCTTTTGGAGAATAATCAAATCTTTGATATTTTATTATTTTTTATTGGTCTGGTTTGGAGGGAGTGGTATTGACACCATATCATCATGAGTTCATTATCCATGATTTTACAGGAAAGTTAATAGAACCATCACTACTGGTTCTGTTAGTGAGGCTAACCAGGGACCCAAAGTTTTCTAGTATGTGCCTTGTATTTTTTTTAGCTCTGTAGGTTTGATTTAAATAAAAACAATAAGAATATCTCCTTTTAATGGTTCTGGCATTGTTAGTCTTAGAGATAAGCTCATTAGCAGACCCAAGGAATTTCCCAGCTTTCAGTTGAGAAAGAAACTGGCCATTTTTCTTTTGGAGTTTTACTTTTAAACTCTCTAAATTTTACCTTTTATTTTATTACTTTGAAGAGGTAACCCTAAAATCTTTTTGGGATAAGAGCTCCCAAATACTTTTAATGTTCTTGGCCTTTGGGACAGAGTACTTTGCTAAAAGGCCCAAGGATATTTTGACTTTTAGCCAAGAAAGAAACTGGCTACTTTTCTTTGGGGTCTTTTTACCCTAGCTGCCTAGCCAATTTTTATCTCCTGTTTACCATGCCATCATCTGAAAAGGCTTACCCAAATTGCTGATAGGGAATTGGGATGCAGACCATTCTGGCTTCTTCCATGCTGAACAGGGATGTGGGGTGAGGCAATTGGGGTACCTCTTCATTGGGTCTACCTGAAAGACTCCAAAATTGCATAACTTTTATCTGTAGGGAGAAAAGAAAGTACTTGACTGGTGAATAGGGGATGTGAAGGAGAAGTAAAGGCAAGAGTAATTAGCATTACAAGTTCTAGACAGGGAACTAGAAAAAAGTCAAAAGACAGAGAAGTAAAGGCAAGAATAGTTAGCATTACAAGTGTTAGACAGGGAACCAGAAAAAAGTCACAAACAGAAAACTTCAAATGTCCATTGGAATTTCTTGACAAGAGCTTCCAAAACCATCCTTCTATTAGGTTCCTCCTCATTTTTCTTTGGTCTGCCAAGGCTGGACTTGAGAGTGATGGACTCAGGATTTTCTTTCAGGCATTTTGATAGCAGTTGGAGTGGCTAGAATCAGTTTTCTAGATAGGGAGAGAAAATAAAATTAGCCATCATTTTAGATGCAGGTGGGCACTACACTATTGGAGACCAAGAATTGAAGTCTTACACCTGAGCAGCATTTTCTTGTCAAGAACAAAATCACTACTGAGAAATAATTATCCAAATAACATTTTACCTGGACTTGAGTCTAATGTCTGGGAAACGCAATCCTTTGGACTCTTGAAGAAATATACTGATTACTTTAATTTTTGGTTATACTTTCCTTTTGGGTGTTTAAGACCATACAGTTGGCCCAAATAAACCAATTTACTTTTACTTTAAGGTTTGTTGATGAGCTGGTCCTCAGGGGTCACCTGGGCTTGGGGGGCGCCCCTGACTCCTTAGGCTTTCTTTTACCAGTTCCATCTACGTGAAGATAAGTCATGAGGTCCTGCTTGACCAGGGCTTCGCTTGGAAGCATGGAGGAAAAGTTTCCTCTGTGTTGACCCTCCTCTTTGCAGACTGGACACTGGTTCAAGTCCCTCTTCTGGGGTCTCCATGGCCTCCCTGAACAAGAGGACAGGTGACTCACCGAAGTTACAGGACATTTCGAGAGATGCGCCATAGCCCCCTTCCAGGGCAAGGAACAAAACTGTCCCTTAAGCCCCTTTGTCCAGATTAGTATGGACCTTTAAGTATGGTTATTAACCATCCAAGAAGGCCAGTCGTAGCAGCCTGGTACCTTTAATTACTGTGTAATATATAGATAAAGCTTGAACAAAACCCA